GTTGTAAGGTACATTCCCGACATCCAAGGGCAGCTATCCTTGCAATAAGGCATGGGAAGAGAGAGAGAGAGAGAGAGAGAGAGAGAGAGAGAGAGAGAGAGAGAGAGAGAGAGAGAGAGAGAGAGAGAGAGTGTGTGTGTGAGGGGGGGGGGTGCCTTCCATCGCCCCTATAGGAACAAAACGGTACGATTGTCATGTGCATGCTAATTCGACCATTTAACTACAGTCGACAAGCTCCAACAGCCACCTGTCTAAGACAGCCACTTTTCTCATTGACATTGGGTAGCTGCCGCCGCCGCCTTAGACAATTTCAGCTGTTTTTCTTTTTCATCAAACGTCCTAACTCACAAGAAAAAAAGGGATCTCAAAAGAAGGTGCGTCATCCCCCAACCTACTTTTTCCGTACCCTTAACCTCCCCCGAGCAGGACGGAAGGACAACAGAAAATGGGTATCCGTATGTTTCTGTATACTAATTTGAGTTAAATTTTTAAAGAAAAGAAATCAATGTGAAAAGAAATTTTTCCTTTCCTGATTATATTTTATACAGCGTAAGCCTACTTTCAAATCCTGCTAGCCTCCTCAAAGGTAGTCATAAAAATCAAAAATCAAAAAGAAAAAAGACCATCCTTCTCTTGTCTCTATTCGATGCTTTCAAACAAAGAAAACAAGTAAAAGAGCGACGGGCTTTCATAACGAAGTATCTTCATGCGAAAAGTCAAATTTGAGACTCCCGAAATAGCTTTTTTTTTCAGTAAGTTCCATATTTACTGAAAATCTCTCCGAAAACATGGGCTTTGCACATTTCAAAGACGGGAGGAGACAGAGACAAGCAGATGGACGGACAGACAGACAGATAGAGGGAGAGATGAAATAGATTCAGACAACCAGACAGACAGAGACTTTTTTGTGAAGAGGCCAAACACAACAAAAACACAAGAAATCTTTAGTGCTTTAAAGCCTTAATGTGGAACCGAAGTCTTTGCAAACAGATCCTTCGGTCATTTGCCTGTGGGCAGTCAGAAAATAGACATTGTATGGTTGTCTGTGTCCCAAGGAATTTACCGGGAACATCTGCGACCGTAAATAACGAAGAAGTGAGGTTGAGGGGGTTGGGGGGCGCTGGTACATTATCTCCATTCGCGGAGGTCTACAGTAGCCTCTGAGCACTCTTGGGGGGGTGTAATCGAAAAGACGTCATCCGCTTCCTTAGGGCCTTGAGCAACATATCTGGCGATTACACTTTGGACTGAAAGGTAGACGGGCAGAGGTTGACTCCAGTCGGAAACAGATTTTGGCATATTCTCATCTACCATTTAAGAAGACTCTTCCCCCCCAACCCCTCCCCCCCCCCTCCCGATTTCCAAGAAGTGTCTGTCCATGTGACATTTTTAAAGTAAAAAAGTGGGTGGCTGGAGGGCAGCACGGGTAGATCCTACTTCTTTTATTTCCATCTGTTGTTTCTGTTTATCTGTCTTGGTTGTTCCCAACAACACTAAATGACCGTTATTTTGTTGACGTGCTTCTTTTTACTCAAACTCAAAAAGTCAAATACAGGGCACTGCACTACACATAAACAACAACTACTCGCCGCCCCACTCCCTCCCCCTTTCCACCTTCCAACCCCGATCCCTCTCCCGAAAAAGACTATGTTGGACATTTACGAAGCAGAGGACGAGTTTTCGTCTTCCACTTTCCTCAACAAGCTAACTAGTTAGCATCGCTCTCCTCTTTACAGATATCGTTGAGATTATTAGAAACAATAAACACTAAGAATATTTTCGAAATAAATGAAAAAAAGAACAAACACTGACAAAATGTCAACTCAAGTGTACCTGGATTTAAATTCCCTATAAGTTCAAAAGGGTAAACCTGTTTTTGTACAGGGCAGGCACACGCCTTTTTAGAAGACATAATTTACTTTAATTTGCAAGTATAATGCGTTCAAGAGGCTGTCTGGGTTTTTCTTTCATTTTACCCAAAAATTGCCTTCATTACCTGAAAGGCATTTGCGCTACATCAGATTTGGCGACATAAACATTTAACTAGTTCAATCATTACTAAAGACGGAGAGTCCCCGATCTATATGATGAATAAATCATTTATCTGTTCGTCATTCGATCATTTGTTTTTTTACGCGTCTAGCCTTTCGGATTCTTAACATTTTCCCACCAATCCCAAGTTATGAACACTCAAAAAAGATAGTTATTGCTAATGTTGATGTTCTTGTTGTTCCTCTCGTTATGCAATATATTAAAATGGACCGCATGCCCAAGACTGAGCATTCAGCACCCTGCCAGTGCATCTATTGTTGTTTTTTGTTTGTCTGTTTGTTTCCCCGTCTTTTCTTGGGTGGCAAAGGGGGTGGGGGGTGTGGGCGGAGCGGAGCGGAGTTGTAATTTAAGGAAAGCAAAAATAGTACAGTTATCAAATCAAACGAACAAAGATTCATACCCTTGTCTTTTCATCCTCCGAATCTATGACCTCACGCATGCATGGCAGACTAAGTCACGACCTACTGTACCACACCAGTGGGCTCCATCAAGCCCCAGCTCTCAGATCAAACTGAATTAATGAAATAGACTTTGACCTATTATGCAATATTAAAAACAGTCCTTGTATTTTGGCAAGTTGTAAATGTGTCGTGTTCGTTGTTTCTTCCTCGTTTCCTTCCTTTTTTTCTATTTTAATTATTAAAATGGAACTTTGCACGACTCATCGTTCGTTTTTACACTCTTTTGTAGTTTAAGTTCCTCAAGAATTCTAATAATTGTTTTTATTTCAAGATATGGGACTCACAGACCCATCGGAAACATTTTAAATTTAAAGTAGCTAAATTATTTATTCTTCATTAGTCGTTTCCTCGTGAGCGATGCAATAACGGGAAGGGCGACGAAAATAGCACACGACGTCATCGCAAAGGAACAAATAAGTCAGTTCTTTGGAAATCGAATGATGTGCGGTCAGACTGGCATGGCATCCAGTCTTGATAAAAAATAAGCAGAATGGAATGCCGAAATGTTACAGACTCTTTTGTAAAACAAAAACAAAAATGGACTAAATGTCCACTCGGTTTATACTGAAAAAAGACCGTTCCAGGTTTCTGTCTTTCTCCTGAAGGTAGTGACATCAAATGATGTGCGGTCAGACTGGCATCCATCTTGAAAAAAATCAGGAGAATGGTATGTCGAAATGGCACGGATTCTTTTATTTAAAAAACCCTGAACAAATTTCCACTCGGTTTACTGGTAAATGACCGTTCCAGGTTTCCATTCTTCGCCTGTCAGTAGTGACATCGAGCCTCCGAGAAGAGAGGGAATGTTTTAGTTATTGGAAGGATTCAAACTGCATGGGGGGGGGGGGGTGATCGAGGGGCAGATCATATTGTTCACTTGGAGCATATTACTTTCTTGTGCTAAGTGTTTACATGTCGGCACGGTATCTCAAAAAGTGCCACGCCACTTCCTGTTTCCTGTCCTGTCAGATAGGAAAGGAAATCCTCTTCTACACACACAAAACCAGGAAAACATTATTTTTTTTATCTCTTTTGTACTTGGTTCCCTCTGAACTTTACCAAATTGCTTGGGACTTCCTAGTTGGGTTGTAAGACGGCGAATATAAAGTAATAAAATCTTAAGTTCGGTTCTCGGCTCCGTCGAGATTATGTGAAACCATTAGGGGCGGTACTTCGTCCAATTTTCCTTACTTCATCCAGCTACAACTAAACGCACGAGCCATCGAAACAGTCTGAAACGTCCAGTCATTGTCGAGGAGAAAAGTGGTTGTCTTGACCTGTGGACGTTTTACACAGTGTCATGATAATGTTTAAAAGATTCAAGGGGTGTAATATCATCATCAATGCCTTTCACCCCAGGCAGGGTATAGGCCACATACAAGCTCCTTCCATTTATCTCTGTCCTGAGCCATCCTTCCAAGCTCGTTCCAAGTGAGCTTCATTTCTCTCATGTCCCTTTCCACGCATCTCCTCCATGTTTCCCGTTGCCTACCCCTGCCTCGTGCTCCTTGTGGGTTCCATGACTGCAGTGACTGTCTTGTGATGTTTCCGCTGGGCTTTCTTAAGGTGTGTCCCATCCATCGCCACTTTCTTAGTCCTATTTCTACTTCTATATCCTTTTGTCCTGTCCTTTCCCACAGCTCTTCCTTTCTTATTCTATCCTGCCACTTAATTCTTAGAATACTCCTCATACATCTGTTGATGAAAGTCTGGACTTTATTCAGTACTGTCTTAGTTGTCTTCCAAGTTTCGCAGCCGTAGAGGAGCACAGACTTGACGTTGGAGTTAAAGTGTCGAATTTTGGTGCGCAGTGAGATGTTGCTTGCTTTCCAGACTTTTGATAATTACTTGAAGGCTGACCTTGCCTTGACGGTTCTTGCTTTAACGTCTGCTTCGGTTCCACCTTTACCATCGATGACACTTCCAAGGTAGGTAAAGGAGTCCACTTCTTCCAGGGGAGTGTCTTCCACTGTCACAGCAGGGCTTGAAACTTTTACTAGCTTCACTACTTTTGACTTGCCTGGACGTATACGTTGGCCAACACTCCTTGATAGGCTGTTGAGTTCCTTGGTCTTTTCTTGCATCTGAGCATGTGTGTGAAAGAGCAGCGCAAGGTCATCGGCGAAGTCAAAGTCGCCCAGCTGCTGCCAAGGGATCCATTGTATTCCATTACGTTTGCTTCTGGTGGCTTCTTTCATGACCCAGTCAATTGCCCGTATGAAGAGGAAAGGTGAGAGAGAGCAAGCATCCTTGTCGCACTCCTGTCTGTACCTGGAATGGTTCTGAGAGTTGTCCTTCGTGGAAGACTTGGCAGTTTGTTCCATCATAGGTGGCCTTCACAAGCTTGACGATTTTCTCAGGTATTCCAAAATGCCGCATGAGTTTCCTCAGAGTTTCCCTGTCCACG